ATCAAATGTGTACAACCTCTTTACTCTTAAGAGAAATGACAGTTGAAACTACAATGTGAAATGACTATGTAGGTACCAGAAAGACAAAAATTAAAGAACTAAAAAGAATAGGCCGGGTGTGGTGGCTCACATCTGTAATCCTAGCACTCTGGGAGGCTGAGGTGGGCGGATCCCTTGAGCTCAGGAGTTAGAGACCAGCCTAAACAAAAGTGAGCTCCATTTCTACTAAAAATAGAAAAATCAGCAGGGTGTATAGGTGCGCACCTGTAGCCCCAGCTGCTGGGGAGGCTGAGGCAGGAGGATCACGAACCCAGGAGTTGGAGGTTGCAGTGAGTTATGATGATGCTACTGCACTCTACCCAGGGCGACAGAGCGAGATCTGTCTCAAAAAAAAAAAAAAAAAAAATTTCAATAGCTACCCACAGCTAGTGGTTACTGTATTGGGCAGCAAAGCTCTCTATCATCATCACTGATATATGTATGAGAAATTCCTCAAAGGGCTTGCTTTCTAACAGAACAGCTGATATTCTAAGAGGTTCTTTTTGTGTAAGATGTATTATTGGTTCCATATGTAGACAGGGCTTGCTGCCCAGATGGATGCAAGGGACCCATGGGATAACTTCTGCATTCACAGGTTGAAATACATTGTTCTAGAGTGAAGGGAAATTAAAACATAAACAGAGTAAGGAGAAAAATCAATTAGAAGTATGGAAACACACATAACCAGTTAAGCAGCATTAACGGATGAAAGGCTATGAATTTGGGGCCTCGGGGTATTTTGTGTGTGTCCTAAAGAGTGTGACTCCTCTTTTCATTCTGATGATTATTGTTTGGAGTCAGATCTTACATGCCTAGTACTTAGGGATCTTTTTGTTTAAGAAAGTAAAGTTTACTTTCTCTTTAGTGCTCTTTTAAAACCTGGAAAAAAAAATAGAGAATCTCAATGGCTTGCATTGGAACTCATCCAATGGTCCATTTTCTCATCAATAATTGTAGAATAGCTTCATTTAAAAATTAATGTCCTTATTTAGTGATTAAATACAAACAGATCTCCTTCAGGATATAAGAGAGCCACACGCCCCCCTCCTCTCCCTAGCTTTGTTTCTGTTGGAGGCGCTGCGTATCACAGCCATAGATAAAGGCTAAGGGCAGGGGTCACGGTGGTTTTCTTCTACCAGTGCACCCACTCAAACCGCAATCTAAGTTAAAACAATGTGCTTGTTTCTACTGCATGAAGATGAGTCTCTTAGTGACTTGAAGCCATCCCAAGCCTCTCCAGTTTAGAAGTTCTGGAGCTTCCACTGCCTGGTTCCATGAAGGGAAGAAACTTTAGATTTCCTGTTTATAAATAAATGCCAACTCCATATTATAGATCTAGCAAAAACTATATTTTGTGATTCTTAACCTGGATCTAGGATGGTTGTACCCCCAAAAGATACTGATGGCAAAAGGAGAAGCATTCCTTTCAGCACTAAAACAAATCCTGAGTTATTGAAAAAAAAATGAAATGCTAAATAACTACCTATCTATTATGAGCTACCTTCAAATAATATGCTTATTGTTTCATATTCTCAAACACTGATGTATTCCACAATCCCAAGAGCTCTTAGTATAACTATTTCAAGTTATTGCCCTAGATAGCATTAAAGCAATTTCACAGGTACTAAACCTTGACATTCTAAACAAATATGTTGTTCTTTAGGAGGAATGCCCTGTTCTGCTCCATCACTTAATGATCAATTATGTTCCACCAAGTAATTCATAAGACCTATTAGGTCATTCCAGGAGCAACACAGCTGCTAGCCTCTGCATGGCTTTGCTGGCACAGTTAATTAACCTGAACAATGCACGGACCATTTGCTGAATAGATACGTTTTTCTATTTAGCAGAGGGTGAACACCTGCCCACATCCAAGACTGTACATTAAGTTCTGACTTCATTTTTAAAAAAGAACAAAACAGTTGCTCTATCAAGCAATGAAGCACAGAGATTGGGAAATGACCCAACAATCACTTATAGAGACAGATGTTGCCATCCTCCTATTACAGTGACATTTACCTGAATGAGGTTGGCGGCTGGGTTTCTTCTTTTCTCAAAGTGTTTCTGGCGATGCTGTTCTTGTACTTTTAATGCAAAGCCTGAGCCAAGAATGCCCTGGAACAAAATACAAAAAATGGTACTTTAAAAAAATTTCAAAAGCATTGTTAAATAACACAAATATAAAAAAACCACTAAAATGAGTCTGAGAGAAGAAATACAGTATGTAATCTGTCCATGAACATGTTATTTATTAAAACAAACACGATTTATAGTACCATCAGCTAAGTTGTTGGGCAATATTGCCATGAGATACAACAACCTGTTTTTTTAGCAAATCAACTAGGCAGCCTCATTTATTATCTTTTGTGATATAGTAAGAGGCATTATAATTACAAATAAAAATCACAATAAATTTTTTCCGTGTGTGTGTGTGGCATTCTTTGTGACATTTCTTTATGCCTAAATTAGAGTGAATGGTCTTATCCAGTGATGGAATGTAGAAGACATGAATTCTGGCTTTGGACAGAACTGGGTTTTTCATTTGGGAGAGTTAAAGTCTCACTGTTGGCTGGGTGCAGTGGCTCACGCCTGTAATCCTAGCACTCTGGGAGGCTGAGGCAGGAGGATTGCTTGAGGTCAGGAGTTCGAGACCAGCCTGAGCAAGAGCGAGACCCTGGCTACACAAAAAATAGAAAAAATTCGCTGGGCGTGGTGGCATGCACCTGTAGTCCCAGCTACTTGGGAGCTAAGGCAGGAAGATCACTTAAGCCCAGGACTTTGAGGTTGCAGTGAGCTATGATGATGCCACTGCACTCTAGCTGAGGTGACAGAGTGAGACTCTGTCTCAAAAAAAAAAAAAAAGTCTCACTGTTGTGGACATGGGAGTACTTCTTGCACTTTGATGAAACTCTGAAATTATATGTTCACTATCCATGAAATGGAAAAGGGGAAGAGGGGAGAGTGTTTAAAATTCTGTCCCAGCTGTGGTTCTTCATGAGGCTATCATTCTACTCCTACCAAAGAAAGTAAAAGGGAGAGGGTGACAGTCATCCAGATGAGACAGACACTCAGTTTTGAAGATACAGAAGGTTTTCCCATTTTGCCTCTTTGTACAATAAAGACAAGAGCATGGGTCATTGCAGAGCACATTCCGATTTTTCTGTTTTAATTTCACACTTTTAGCATTCCTTAGCTTTTTGGTTTTGGGTCACCTACGTGGATTTTGGGGTTAGTAAGATTAGTATCCCCCCTTTGTTTATATTAGTTTTATGGCTAGTTTGCCTTCCTCTGCTTATCATCTTGATCTGCAAAAATTCTCTTTCTTTGATGTCCCCCTCTCTTTTTAGTTTGCTTTGGTCTAATATTTGTGAAACTGAGATACTTTGTCTCAGCCTTGGGTTGTCTTTCCGAGCTTACTAAATATACAGTCTCTGGGCTTCGACCTTAACTCTTGACTGTATCGGCATGGGACTTGGAGCTCTCCTGCTTTCAAGTCTACAGATTTTAATTGCTACCTATAAATTATTAGCTTTTTATTGAACTTTAAGGAGTTCAACCCTTAGGTTAGAGATGGACATTTTATAAGCCCTAAGTCAGTATTTGCCACAGGTAAGGTATGGTTGTTTTTCTTTTCTTTATATTTTTCAAGTAGATCAAAGATGGTGTAGGCTGCCTGGAGACGTGGTGGGCTTTTCATCTCTGGGAGGTGTTAAGTCTCAGCTGGATAACAACTTGGCTGAGATATTTTTGGGCTCTAGATAGCCTTTAACCCTCCTTTTTATCTTGAGATTCCACAATTCTGAGTACATCTGTGACAATAACCAGACAATAAGTAATGCAATCATGTTTAAAAGACACAATTATACAATAATAGTATTTGCTATTAATGAGAAATGATCTACTCCATTATTAGTTAAAATAAATGGCTGTACCATGAAATTAGAAATTACATCATGGGTTCTGTTTTCCATCTCTTTTCTTTAGTAATTGTCTCACACTAAGCTCTCTATCTCATATAGGTTGTAATTGCACAAACTAAGCTTTATAAAAACCTGGTCTTTATAGTCTGGTTTGTAGATTTAAATAAAATTTTCCTCCTTTTAGAGGTTCTGAAAATGGCTTTCCATTTCCAAACTCAGATCAATTCCAGTCATTTGTAGCTCCTAATTTTTTTCTGCTATTCAAGATCATTTAGAAAAAGTTGATTTATTTTTCTTTTAAAGTCATTTTTATGAAGAAAACATGTAAGAGAAGATGAAACATTCTAATTTCCAGCATGTATTTATAAAATGTGTTATAGGTACATACATTATGTGCATGTATTTGTATAATCCACTCATATAAAAGATAAGTCAGATTTCGTAGACATCGAATTAACAGCAATAGCTATCATTTTGAGCACGTATGTGAGTATGAGGTTCAGCAGTAAATCCCCTTTGGAAAATGAAGACAGGCTCTATACAGGCACAGATTTAACATCTGCCAAACAAACTAAAATGTGCTGAAAATCACATTGGTACTGCTTAGAAACATTTGTTAGTAGATGGCAAATGTTTGCTACATATCTCTTGCCTAGACTGTACATTACAGTAGTTATTAAACCAGGTCTGTTTCCTGTCTCATTATGGATCCATTCCAATTTTATTCCACCTCTCTCTTAGTACACAGCTCAGTGCACTGAAATAGAAGTCTGTTAAAATAAGGCCTACTATGATATATATATATATGATATATACTTATATCATATATACATATACATACAAACACAAATCATGGCTTATTCTTTGAACAGAAGTGTCATCCCTCCAGACAGTGACACCAATAGATGCAAATGCTTAGAAATTGAGTTTTATTTTAATTCATTTTCTAAGATAACAGGACTTTAATTTTTAGATTTAAGTTTTAGTACTATGCTGATAAGTGCTACATAACAACACAGTTTAACCTCACCATGATAGACCAGGAGTTTAAATGATGTCATTAGGGTGGGGACCCTAATCCAATACGACGGGTGTCCTTATAAGAAGAGGAAATTTGGACACAGATGATGTGAAGACACAGGAAGAAGATGGCCATCTACAAGTCACAGAGAGAGGCCTGGAGCACACCCTTCTATCATGGCTCTCAGAAGGAACTAACCTTGCCAACGCTCTGGTTTTGGACTTCTAGCCCCCAGAACTTGAGACAATAAGTTTCTGTTTTTTAAGCCATCCAGTCTGTGGTACCTTGTTCAGGCAACCCTAGCAAACTAATGCAGTCATGTATTTAGTACATGACAACGACAGAATTCAAACTGAGGTCCAGTGCCTCATACGTGGTCTTTCAGTTTCTTTTCTGTGGTTTTGAGTGGTCTGGGGGAGAACCAGCTGGTCAATCTGGAGTTGGGGACTGGCCATGGAAAGGACAAGAGTGTCCTCTGCACTCATTAACAGGCAGAGGAGCCCCCTGAGCTAAAAGCTCCTCCCTGCTCCCTTGGCTTCCTTTGGAGAGGTGCTCTGGGGTCTCTGCTCGGCAGGGGCTGTGCGCAGCCTCCCCTTGTGTCTGGAGCAAGACCAGAGCTATTTTCCTTAAGCATGACTGCAGCCACCACTTTGACACTCCTTTTCGTTGGCTCCCACCACTGTCACCCCAGGTGGAGTGAACAAAAGGGAGAACTTGGGGACGGGAGCAAATGTTAGCATTTGGATCAATTACCTTTAAAGAAACAAGATAAAATGATATGAAAGGTAAGCTTCATCCATGAAGGAGAAAATAATCAGAAGCTTGGGGGAAGAGAAACATGCTCTTTATTCTGATAAGACACAGAAACTGCTCATTAAGAAAAATCAATGATGATGAAACAAAGAATAAATCATCTAACACTTTTAAAACCCTTTAAGGTCATATGCTTTTCACTCAACTAGATCCGAAGAGGAAAATACTCTGCTTGTGCACATCCATCTTTTCAGTGGCACACATTATAAACCAAATTGGAAGATAGCTTTAAATCTTTACAAATGGTTTAAATGTGTTAGTTGCATATCGACTAAAAGGTGATGCCATCTGAATTATTATTTGGTCATAAAGACCTAGCTGCTATTATAGTCTCAGGTTTAGTGTTTCCAAGGGAAGATCATATTTTGTAAATTATCCAAGTAGATACATTTAGAAAAGTCAACATTATATCAGAAAAATCATATCTGTAAACATACAGATACGTTCTCAAGCATACCAATGTGTGAGTGCTCACACTAATCAACCTCTCAGACCTAATTTAAACTGCTTTATCGTTGCAGGAGATACTCACAGCAGGAAGTGCAAAGAACGAAATGCCAAGGAGTGCAAAGCCCGCAGAAAGCAATCTTCCCAGCCAAGTCAAAGGAGTTTTGTCTCCATAGCCAATAGTTGTCAATGTAATCTAAAAACAAAATAAATAGAACATGCAGCTTAAGTACTTGAGAGGCATGTTAGGACCTATGAACAGGAGGCAAAGCAACGTTTCCACTAAATCATTATTCAACAAGTCTTGTTGGCGCATTTTATTACTGAGCTTTAATTTTCCGTGACGCATAACAGAACTTCTCTGTGTTTAAGGAAGGGAATAACCTACATACTTGTTCCTCCCTTACAACACAGTTTTCCATCTTTTCCAAGTGTATTCAAAGAAAGGTTATTTAAGTAAGTGGATAACCATCAGTGATACAGAAATGATAGTACCGTGGATTTAGGATTGGATCAGTACATAGAGCAACAATTTATGCTAGTTAAGGCTGTCCCTTCATTAGCTTGGCAGGCATTTCCTGAAGGTCTGGTGTGTACAAGGCATGTGTTATGATTTGTAGTGGAACAAAAATGAGAGGTACATAGCGCTTGTCTTAAGATATTTACTGCCTGCTAAGGGAGACATGTCACACATAAATAATTAAAACACAAAATAGGGCGAGACAGGTTTTATGGTAGGGGCACAAATAACCTGCTATGGGAATTGAAGGAACAGATTGATCATTATAAGCTTGTGGGGTTGAGGAGGCTTTATTGGAAAGATGTCATCATACCTGGGCTTTGAAGGAGGGGTAACATTTTGAGAGGCAGAAATAATAAAGAGGGTGGTGTAGAGAGGGGAAACAGGTGACTAGGTGCACAGCCAGGACAACAAATAGGATAGATTCTACAAAGTATTAGTTGTTCCGACGGACCCAAGCATGGTGCATTTGAAAAGGATTGGTGGCTTTTCAATTTCTTTCATCAGCGTTTTATGGTTTTCAGTGTATAGTGCACATTTTTTAGTGTATATAGTACATATTTTTTTTAGCTATTGTAAATGGGATTGTTCTCTTGATTTCTTTTTCTGAAATCTTGTAGTGTGTAGAAGCACTATTAATTTTTGTGTGTGATTTTGTATCTTGCAACTTCACTGAATTAGTTTATTAGAGTGCTAGCCATATTTTTTGGTGGAATTTTTAGGATTTCCTATGTATTAAATATAAGATCATGTTGTCAGCAAACAGTGACGATTTCATTTCTTCCTTTCCTATTTGGATGCCTTTTATTTCTTTCTCTTGCCTAATTGCTCTGGCAAGGACTTGCAATACTATAGTGAATGGAAGCGGTGAAAGTGGGCATCCTTGTTTTGTTCTGGGTCTTAGAAGAAAGGAATTCGATTTTTCATTGTTGAGTATAATGTTAGCTGTGGGCTTATCACATACGGTCTTTGTTGTGTTGAGGTACATTCGTTCTATACCTAATTTGTTGAAAATTTTTGTCATGAAATGATGATAAAATTTGGTCAGATGCCTTTTCTGCATCTAATGAGATGATCTGAAATAAGGCAGGCACAGAAAGACAAAACCTGCATGTTCTTGCTTATATGTGGAATCTAAATTAATAGAACTCATAGAAGCAGTGAGTAGAATGGTGGTTACCAGAGGCTGGGGGTTGGGGGAATGGGAAGATGATGGTCAAAGGACACAAAGCCTCAGTTAGACAGGGGGAATAAGTTTTTTTTCTTTTTGAGATCTATTGCACAGAGTGGTGAATGTAGTTAGTGGTGAATGGTATTGTACATTGCAAAATCACTGAGTAAATTTTAAATGTTCTCAACACAAAAAATGACAAATATTTGAGGTGATAGATATGTTAATTAGCTTGATTTAATTATTCCCATTGTATTCATAAATCATAACATCACTTTGTGCCCCATAAATATATGCACCTATAATCTGTCCATTTACAATAAAAAAAGATAAGGATTAGCGGAAGAGCAGGTGAACTAGATATACTACAGCCAGGCCAGGGAATGTCTTTGAATGTCACGTCTCTCCCATGATCAAACAGTTCCAGGGGCTTCCCATGTTCCTTAGAGCAAAGTCGCAGCTGCTCTCCATGGCCTACGGGGTTCCGCGTGATTGGGCCTTGGCCTACTACTCAGACACGGTCTTCCGCCATACTAGATCTCATCCTGCTCCGCCACACCAACCTTGCTGTTCATCAGCACACTACGCTCTCTCTCGCCTCAGGCCCCTTTCTCTTATAGTGGTGGTTTGTAGGGAAGAGTAGAATGTCGTGAGCTCTGAGGGTGGCACCTTGAGTCCCTCCGAGGGTGTGCAAAGATGCTGCCCACCTTCTCTCTGCACGTCTGGGATGACCACATTTTACTGAGAGCAGGGGACTTGAATAGCCAGAAGCTGAACCTCTGGATTCAGCACCTTCTTTCACTTGGATTTCAGAGGAGCTTGGGAAGTTTCTTGGTTGAAAACCGTTGGGGCTTTCTGTTGCCAGGCAAGGCTTGGGAAGGATCTGGCAGTAGGGTGGCAGTTTTGTTTCCCTCCATGCCAGGGAGCGGTTTCCGTTATTTCTTGCCTGGAAAGTGCATCATTTCACTGTTGTGGATGGGAAGGGGATGGATGGGCTTCATGATAGAAACAGAAAGGTAGTACCATACATAAAATTATAAATTCTCTAAGGTACACTTACAATAAAAAGATGTGAGTCTTCTCCAGGACTTCAGACTGACCCATCTGTTTGATCTGGCTGCAGACTTTCTAAGGCAAAGACCAGCTTCATTTCCATCTGTAGATGAGCCCTGCATTATGATAATCATTGATTTTCTGGACTCTCAGGTCAAGCTGCCCTTGAAGTACTAGTGAGTGTCCTTGGAATGGTACAATCACATTATGTTTCTTTTCTTTTTGCTAGCACTTGGAAGGCCCTTCTAATGTTTATCAGCTGATCCTTTGTACATGAACTGAGCCGTGCTCTTGGTGCCTATTCTCCCATGCCTGTGCTAAACAATAAACCCATTTCTGCCTTCCAGAAAGCTCCTGAGTGTTTTCAGTGGCTGAACCCAGTAATGATTAGTTTCATTTAGGTTCAGAATCAGAGAAAGGGAGGTCCACATAGAACCCAAAGACACAAGCTCTCCAGGATACTCCGGGAGATCCTGGAACAACAGCTTGTTTCAGAGGACCTTGAAAGGCTGCTATATGATCTTCAGGGCCTTGGAGGAAATTGTACCTAGATGTCACAGTTGAATTGGGTTATGGGACAGTTAATTCATTTTCTGGAAAAACTCTTCACAGATCTCCAAGAACCCAGCAGCATCCTGATGGCATGGTATGGCAAGATGACTTATTCTATTGTATCTCGTCATCTCTGTATTGCAGCTGCTCCTACATTGAGTACCTTGGTGACTCCCAGTCCAAAGGGCAGGTGGTGATTATTAATTACAGTACACAGTTAATACAGTGACAGGGGATGAATGAACTTAAAGAGCCAGAGTTGACTTGGGAAAAAGTAGATGTAGCAATGGAGTACTGCTATAACGAAAAACAAATAAACAAATAATGAGCCTCCTTGGAAATAGCACTCTCTTTAGATGGGCAATCCAACATTAAATAAATAGTATAGCTCCTCCTTTGAAGATACCTTCATCACCTCGTGTTGTGTAATTCCTTGCCAGTTCTACACGTGCGCATGGCATTGGGTGCAAGGGTTGAGCCCAGTAGGTGATGGTGCTGGAATCAAATCCAGAGACTCTCTGTTCATCTGGGGTGAACCATGCAGATGCTTCATGACTGCATACAGGCTGGGTGGGTGGAGATGACAGGGATTGGGTGGGTTGAGGATGACAGAAAGAACTAAAGTGTGGTCGGTTAATGGGTTCTCTTTGTACTAATATATTTTTGATACTTCCTGAGTCAAGGCATTTAATTCTCTTCTAATATATACAGTGTTAAAAGTGAATCACAATACATCAGACTTTTACTCTGCATAGCAAATGTGTTTCAAAGGAATTAGTTGAACTATTAAGCAGTTGAATCAATGTAAAATAAATGTTCTAGAGAGCCCCGTTATTCTTTGTAGGCGAGATGATGTTTTGATATTATATATTAATGCATGAGAAGATACAGAGAAGTCTTCTTAATGGAACTTCTGTGATGGCTAGTTGGTTGCTTAGTCAGAAATTTGACTAAAGCAGATAGTCACAAAGATATATATATATATATATATATATGTGTGTGTGTGTGTGTGTGTGTGTGTGTGTGTGTTACATATTTTATTTTAACCTAAAACACATAAATGTATTAATACGTTCATTTCCCAATATTTCCAATGAAGGATGTATTCTACAATTGGGGTTTTACCTCATCTTTTTTGCATAAACCTCACCCATAATGCATCATTTATTTTTCTTAATTTTAGTGTTTTTTAAAAATTATTTTTTTTAGTGGACTTGACTTCTGTGGGAGCCATCTGAGTACAGAGTCCTAGATATTTAGGATTTTTTCCCCCATATAATTGTGTGTTCACCCCTGATTTTAAAATATATTTAGCATTTTAGTATATTTAGTATTTTGCATTTATTGAGCTTTTCTAAAGCATTCTATTTTCATAAAACCATCCATCTTTCTTTCTGTACCATATGTCATCAGTTTATGCAATAATATAAAATTAAACCTTGCCATTATAATTACAAATACAACTGGCATAAAAAGGTTTGGGAGTGAACACACTGACTCTTTGCAAGCATGCAAACAATGTTAAGAACAGAATTCTATGGATTCTAAAGAGCATTCGCTGTGCTGCAGGCCTCAGTTGGCATGTTTCATAGGAGTGGGGATTGTCAGTTAATCTGGCCAGCCAGTGAAGAGCCTCCACTCTATTCTAACACAAATACGATGTTTATGTGAACGGGCAAGTAAACGAAATAATATTTTGTGAACTTTGATATTCCTTACACATGTGTGAGCATTAATTTTTGCTTGTATATATGTGTGAGAGATGAGAAGAAGGAGAATAGAATACATGGGTATTTACAACACTGCATTGGGAATTCAGCTGCTCTGAAGGATTCATATGCGACTCCTGATGAAACTATGACCAGGTGGGCACGAGTTACTATTATACCACACATAACGA